TTCTAACCCCCAGGGTGCGCGCCGCCAAAATGGAGCGGGCAGGGTGTGCAGACCGGCCGGATCGGCAGGCGCCGCCACCTCCCGACCTGGCCGATTGGGCCCCCGGCGCCTGGTGCTTCCGGGAGGCGCCCGCCCCGTCCTGCGGTCAGGAGTTCTGGTTACGGTCGCGGAGGAGGGGGGCGGAGGAGGGCGGATGCGGTCAGGAACTCTGGCTGAGCGTGCTGCTCCGCCGATTCTGGCCCACACGCTTTGGCGCGACACGCGAGCCACGTCTCAGTCCCCAATCGTCAATGTCCAGAGCCTTTCTCGGCCTCCCGCCCCGCGGAACGGAACGACACGCGCTCCGCTCGCAGAGCATAGCGTGTCGCCGGGGCCGTCGCCGTGACACGCTGCGCAAACGTTCCTGGCCGTATCGGGCCACGGCGGCGGGTTCCCTTACAGTCAAGGCGCTTGGATAAGGACCACTTTGGGCTCAGGACGGGCTCTGGTTTTCGGGGCGTTCCTCAGGTTAGGTTGACATCGCCGTGACGAAAGTTTCATCACTGGGATTCGCAATGATTGCGATTCGGCGGAGAAGGCGGAGTAGTATCTACTCCGCGTGGAAGCGCACCCAGTGGGATTCATAACACAATTTGGCACCGAATAGTTTCCCGCCAACTTTTCGAATTAACAAAGTTAAAGGCGGGATTAACATTATTCTGCCGATTGCCGCCAGCCGTATGTCATGTTAGGGATCTCGAGAAGTACGGGATATTCATCGGTCGTGGAAAGACGAAGAAGCTGATAACACGGCTTTCTAGGTCGGGGGTTCTATTCTGTCGTCGTCGTCGTCGTCGTCGTCGTCGTCGTCGTCGTCGTCTCCCTCCTCCTCCTCCTACTGCTCCTCCTCCTCCTCCTCCTCCTCCTCCTCCTCCTCCTTTCGAGCCTTCCGAGCGCGGCCCCAAGTCGCTCTCGCGACGCGGCCGATGCCTAGGCGGATTGTTCCGCCTAGGCGGGAGGCGGTCTTTGCCGCCACTGCGGCGCGCGACGGGCCCGCCGCGGCCGCGCAGCTTTCCACCAAGATGGCCTCGGGAGGCCGAACGCGAAAAGGGGCCGAGGGGGCCCGACAAGGGCCGACAGGCACGGGGGCCCGACGGGCCAGGGCTCCAGAGCCCAGGGCCCCCCAAAAAGGAAACGGACAGGAAGGGGGGGAAGAGGAAGGATGCCTCCAGGGCTCTGGAGAGAGGGGGGAGGGGGCGGCGCGGGGCGCGGCGCTGAGCGGGCCGCAGCAGCCTACCGGAGCACCGGCGCCCGGCCCCCCTGGCGACCGCCCGGCCGACGGCGCCCAGCATGAGGACAACCCCGACGACGCCTCGGCTGACGGCGGGCCCCTCGATGGCGCGCGATGGAGCAAGCTCACCGCCTCTGGACCCTCTGGCGCGCGGCCGGAGCACCTCACCGAGCTATTCTCCGTGCTACGGCAGCGCGAAGCAGCCGCCCTTCGGCGGGCCTTGGGGCGGCTACGCACGGCCATGCGGGGTGGCGAGCTGCAGGCGCCCATGCGCTGGATCACCCGCACGCGGCTTATGTGGCAGAGGAAGCGCAATGGCAAACCGAGGCCCATCAAGATGGGCGAAGTCATACGCACGAGCCTTGCCAAGCGCTTCACCAAGCGGCACCTCCCTGCTCTCCGCGCCCGCTTCCGCGCCGCCCACCAGTGGGGCGTGGGCGTTCCGGGCGCCTGTGAGGCCATGACGCACTGGCGTGGAACGGTGGAGGAGCTGGCCGCCCGGGGCGCCATCCCCGCCGCAGTGGCGCTGGACGTGGACCTCGTTAACATGTTCGGCAGCGTGGAGTGGGACGCTATGCGGTCTTCGATCGACCCCGCAGAATTCCCTGAGATCGCGCAAGAGCCGTCTGAAACGCTCCTACCCTCAGGCGAGACCTTCACCACGGACCGCGGCGCCGAACCGGGCGACGGCTTCGGCACAGTGCAGGCCGGCCTCACGCTCGCTGCCGCTCGCGCCCCCCGCATTGGCCCGCCCGCTGCTGGGGCCGCCGCCCCAGGCTTCTGCGAACAGTGGTTTATCGACGACGGCCAGGTTTTTGTCCGCCCGCGCGCGCTGGAGCCTTTCCTGCGCAGCCTCGATGCCACTCTCGCGGTCTTCGGCGGCACCCGCGGGACTGTGGCTGCCGGCGCAGCCAAAAGCTCCTGCCGCCTCCTCTGCCCTGACGGCGAGACGCACCACTACGACGGCTGGGACACGGACTACGTTCGGACCACCTGCAATGTGCTTGCCCCGGAAGGATCCACCCTGGCACTCGGCGCTCCCCTCGGCAGCCCCGATGCTCTCGATGACCAGGTCAAGGCCGCGCTGACCAAGGCCCGCGACACGCGTCTGGCCCTGCTAGAGATCGATGGGGCACGCCGCGACGGAGCTGGTGCTCACGAGGCTCTGCGCCGACGTGTCGAAGCTCTCCTACCAGCTACGGCTTAACGGGGACAGGGTTAAGGACGAGCACCTGCAACAGTTCGACAACGACCTCCGCGAAGCCGTGCAGCTCGTCGCGGGCGGCGACTTATCCGACGCGGCGTGGGAGCAGTGCGCTCCCGGCGTGGGCGCGGGGGGCCTAGGCATGCGGACCGCCTCGCAGGTGTCTCTCGCGGCCCTCGGGGCCAGCCGCGTGTGCTCGAGGCCCCGCGCGCGGGAAATGGCCAGGCACCTCGCAGAGAGAGGCCTGGGCGAAGCAGGGGTCATCATGGCAGAGTACGACAGGCGCACGGACGACGCCGCGGCCCGCCTTGTCCTCAGTCTGCCGCCCGCAGTCGGCGGCCTCGTCGTGGCCGCGCTCCCGGAGGCCGCCGCGGAAGCCGAGGGTCGGTGGGCTGCCCTTTTCGACCGGCAAGCGGAGGCGCCCGCCGCCGCGCCGCAGGAGCGCCGAGGCCGCCCCCGGGGCATCGGCCGCAACCTGCTTCCGCTCGACGAGGACGAGGACAACGAGCACCCCAACGCCGCCCCGCGCTCGCGGCAGCTGCACCTGCAGCGGGCTCTACTTCGCTACCGCGACGAGCAGGGGCGACACGACCTTCGCAAGCGGCACGCGGACGCCGAGGACGACGCAGCGCTGCGGCGGCTCGACGACCTCGAGCACCCCGACTGCGACCACTCCTTGCTCGAGAACCTCTCGAAGCACAAGGGGCCCGTGATGGACAACCCCGATGTCAACGAGGCCTTGCGCCTCCGCGTCGGTGCCGCCGGTCCGCTGGACTTGGCCCCGCGCGGCCTCTGTGGCCAAGCGATTCTCGACCGGGCGGGGTCGCGCGCCCTCTGCTGCTGCCGGGCGGAGTCTACACGGGGGCACCACGCGGTTGCGCGCCGGGCGCACGCCGCGGCCACAGTCTGCGACCCTGGCGCAGAACTCGAGGCCCCGGGCCTGGTGCCAGGCACGCGCCTCCGACGTGCTGACCGGCGCCCTCGGCAATGGCCTCCTGGCCCTCGACGCGGGCGTCGCCTCGCCCGACCCTGCGGCGGCCGGCCCAGACTGTGCGGCCACCATGTACCGGCGCAAGGTCGAGTACTACACGGCTTACGCTGGCGATCTGGCGCGGCAGAACATCACCTACCAGCCGCTGGTCTACGCCTGCTACGGCCGACCGCACCCCCGGACGACAGCCATCCTCCGCACTCTCGCGATGAAACAATCGCGGAGGCGTGGCTGCTCGGATGGGGAGTGGCGGCGCAGGCGGCTGGCCGCGGCCATCGGCGCGGAGCTGTGGCGCCGCGCCGCCCGGCAGGCGCAGGCGCGCTGGCCCGACCGGGAGGAGGGCGCCACCTAGGCACCCCGTTCCCGCGGCACCAACGCCACCCCTTGACCCGCCCCCGTCCGCCCCCGCGCACGCGTGCCTAATTGCGGGGCCAGTGGCTCGCACCCCGCGGCCGTGCCCCCCCCCCCACGCCGCCCGCTCGTCTGCCCCCCTGCCTTGCCTGCCTGCCGCCCTCCCTTCCTCTCCTGGGCCCGGAGGCCGCGTGCAGGTGCTCAAAGCACCCGGCGGCTGCGTAGCAGCTCGTTTCCCTCCTCCTCCTCCTCCTCCTCCTCCTCCTCCTCCTCCTCCTCCTCCGTCTCCTCCTCCTCCTCCCTCCCTCCTCCCCCCTCCCTGTGTGCCGGGTCATTTGTATTGAAATCTGTCGGTACAATGTTAAAACCTTCTTTCTTTTCCAGGCCGTCGCGACACTGCGCGCTGGGTAGTTGGGCCGCACACCTGCGTCTGTCCAGTTTCTTCAGCGTTCCTCCTCCTCCTCCTCCTCCTCCTCCTCCTCCTCCTCCTCCTCCTCCTCTTCCTCCTTCTCGTTACCGGGCGTCCTGGCCCGTCGTGTTTCCGACGCGCATGGCACCGGGAAAGCGGCCAGGAGCGGCAACGCCACGCCGTTTTCATTCACTTCTACTCCGGCCTGGGTCAGGGGCCACGGCTCGCAGGTCCAGAGTTGCACAGCATCACGCACCACGACGGGAGTGATTGCAGCACTGTAGCAGGACCGTTCAGGGACGCATGCGGACGGTCCACATTGTTGCCGTAATCTTACACGACGAGAAAAAAGTAAGCGGCTGCCCGCGCAAGTGAGCTCGGGGGTCTCCGCCTCGGCCAGTGTCTGCGACAGCTGCAAGTTGTGCGGGTTCCACACCTTGGTTTTGTCCTCGTCGAGTCAGAGCCCGCGCGCTGCGTAGAAACCTTGCGCGGCTGCTTTGGCGGCGGCGAGAGCCTCTGGTGCGCCCGCGAGGTAGACGTCGTCCAGGCTCGCCACCACGATGGCGCCCGTGTCCCGCCGCAGCGCGTGCTCCAGGTCCTCGTGGAGGGCCGCCGTGGTTGTGGCGAAGAAGGCCAGCGAGGGGGGGCACCCTTGGTCGAGCCCCCGCTCTACTGCCACCGGGGTGACAGCGCCTGAGAGGTGCGCGCCGTGCGTGGTCGTCCCGCCGTACCACGCAGCTGCGAGGCGCGCGAGGGGCGGGAGCCTGTGCGAGACCTCGCGGACGAAGGCGTCCCGGTCGACCTCGTTGAAGGCGTCTGTCACTCTCTCCACGGAGCAGGCCACCACCTTGTGCAGCAGCTCGACGCCGTTGCGCCGCCCAACGCCGTACTGGCAGGGCCCCACCGCCTGGGCGATGAGCTCCTTGTGCTGCGCAGTCGCCGCCTTCGCCGCCATGCGGCGCAGCGCAGCGTCTCCCCGCAGGCGAGGGGCCGCGCACCCCGCCCTGTGGCTTCTGGAGCGGGATCACCCGGCCGCCAAGCAGCGCCTGTGCTGCCGACGCGGGCGCCTTGCCGCGCAGGATACAGCCCAGCGCCTCGACCAGCGCCGCCTTGCCTTCCGCGTGGCCGCGTATGGTTGCTGCCCAATGTTCGAAGCGGGCGCCAGCGAGCCCCGGGCCGGAGTGCCGTGGGAACTTCTTGAGGGATCGCGCCATTTTTTCTGCAGCTGCCTTCTCCCAGTTGCCCGCCTGCGGCAACGGCGGCGCGCGCGCCCGCGGCCCGCATGCGGGAGGGAAGAGCGCGGTGAGCTGGGAGCCCACGCCGGCCCCTGAGGCGAGTTTCCCTGGGCCTCCGGCGGCCGCGGCGGCCCGGGACACCTCCCCGAGCATCGGCCGCTCGTGCACCATGTGGGCCTGCGCCGCCAGGTCTGGTGGGCGACGGCCACCTCCGTCGCCGTCGCCCGGGCGCGCCGTCGCCGCCCAGAAGCCGGCCCAGTCACCCAGCAGACGCGACCTGGGGCGGACGGCAAAGAGCAGGCGCGGCAAAAGGAGCAGTCGCGCCCAGGCGCCCTCCCGGGCTGGCAGCACAGCGACCGCCTTGAGCGCCGCTGCCAGCAAGTCGCCCACGGCTGCTGTGAGGCCGTCAGGGACAGCCGTCCAGGTCGGCACTAGCTGCTCGCGGAACGCGCCTGCCAGGTCCAGCGTGTCCCACCGCGGGAGCCCAGGGAACTCGCCCCGCTCAGCCGCCACCGTGTGGCGAAACTCCAGGTCGCCCGCTGGCGCGTGGTCGTCCTCCTTCGCGTTCGCCGCCTCGCGGGCGCCAGCTGCCAGTGGGCTCGCGGCGGCCGCCCCAGCCGCACCGCCCACCACGCAGGCTAAGACCTGCGCCCGCGCCTCCTCGGGCAGCGCCGCAAGGCCTTCCACGGTGCCTGCGGGGATGCAGGCAGGGTGCCTGAGGTAACGGTCCGGATTGGCACGGCTGGCCAGCCGTAGTTCTCGGTGGCCGAACCCCTCGCAGCACATGTAGCAGAGGGCCACGTGCCGGCGCACCAGCTGCAAGGTCGCCGTCCACGCGCGCACCTTGGTCCGCGGGGCGGCTCCGGGAGCCAAGGCAGGCGCGGGAGGAACACCATCAGCGCCCGCAGCATTCCCCGAGGCAGCAGCGGCGCCGACTGCACCGCCAAGATAGGATGGCCCGGGGGACGCACCGTGCAACTCCTGCATGCTCGCGTCCCTCGCCGTCATCGTTTCGTCCTCGTCCCTTCCCTCCTCCTCCTCCATTTCCCTGGCTGAGTCAGCAGCACCAACCGCCAGCACCGCGCCAGGATCCACGCCGTGGCCAGAAAAGCCCCTTCCTTTCTTAGTCAGCGTTCTTTGGGGCAGCACGATGGCTGGACTATCCTGTAGCGGGACGGGTCCTCTGGAAGTTTCCCTGAGGTGTTTCGAGCTCCCGACTGCACTTGACGGGCCAGGGGGCCGTCCAAGAAAGATTTGGGACGACGAGATGGTCCCGAAGGTCAGGGAAGGAACATATACTGGTAAAACTATTCTTCCGTGGTCGCCACGGCTAGATTCGCATCGAAACTTGAGTCAGAACGCACCCCTGGAGAGGTCTGTGGAGTAGCGGTTCCAGTGCCCAGTACCTTTTTGTCCCCTCCCCACTGGGAAGGCACCGGTGTCCAGGACCAGTTCCCCGCAGGACCACTTTCTCCTTGATGGCAGCTCCAGTGCGGTTCCAAGCGTTCTCGGTGCTCCTGGACCTCCCACAGGATGAGGATCGATATCGAGGTGGTTCGAGGATCGAGGGTCCAGGTTTTTGGTCTCTTCAGGCCTCGGGGAGATACTTCGTTGCCACGGCTGGAGTCGCTTCGACTTTCTGGCCAGAACGCACCCCAAGTACGGGTCTCGGGGTAGACGTTTGTCGGCCTCTGGCCGAAGGTGACCCCCCAGACCTCCTATACATCTCGAGGCAACACATCACGACGGATCTTCTCATCACTCCCGGCGTCTGGGGGCTCTTTTCGGACTTGAGGGCCGCCGGAGACCGGCTCGGCCGGCTCGGAGTGAGGGCGTCAGGAGGCGCTGGAGGAGGCAGAGAACGAGTGCAGCCAAGACGCTGAAAGAAGGAACAGTTTGGGTTCGGAAGGGGGTCGGTGTTCCTCTGATCCTTCCATGGCTGTTTCTCTAGCGGTCCTCGAGCACGCAGGCGTTTTTGGGGACCAAAAAGGGGCTTCGTTCCTTATTTAATGTTCCTCATGTCAGCGGCCCGTTTGTAGTGATGGTATGAAGAAGAAGATGAAGAAGAAGAAGAAGAAGAAGAAACATAATAATACTAATAATAATAATACTAATAATAGTAACAATAATAATAATAATAACAATAATAATAAGAAGAAGAAGAAGAAGAGAGGGGTTCGAATTGGGACCAAGGTTCCTGCCGCGGCCACTGGTCAACCAGAAGTGCTCGAGGAAAGCTTGGCGCTTCGCCAATGGAACTCGTGAACATGAAGCCGTTTCTGAATTTACGCTGCATTATCCCAGTGCGACCCGACCTAGGAGTTGGAGCATTTAGAAAAGCAACATCTACATCTATACCGACAGCTACATTTACATCTACACCTGCATCTACATCTACATCAACATCGACAGCGAGACTCACATCTACATCTACACATACACCTACATCTACATATGCATCTACATATACATCTACACCTACACCTACACCTACACCTACTGCTATGCTGTGCTATGCAATGTTATGATATGATATGCTGCGCTATGCTAAGCTAGGCTATGCTGTGCTATATTGTGCTGGGCTATGCTATGCTGCGTTGTGCGATGCTAAGCAATGCTATGCTATGCTATGCTATGCTATGCTATGCTATGCTATGCTATGCTGCGCTATGCTATGATATGATAAGCTATGTTATGCTATGATATGATTGGCTATGGTATGATATGCTGTGCTAATGCTGCGCTGCGCTATGCTGCGCTAAGCTAAGCTAATGTACGTTAAGCTGTGCTAAGCTAAGCTAAGCTAGGCCAGGCTAGGCTAAGCTAAGCTAAGCCAAGCTACGCTAATATGATATATGCTAAGCTCAGCTCAGCTCAGCTAAGCTAAGCTAGACTAGGCACAGCTAAGCTAAGCTAAGATGAGATAAGCTAAGCTAAGCTTAGCTAAGCTAAGCTGGGTGAGCCCAGGGGGCGTAACTGGGGGAACCGCGGGGCGGATACCGGGGGAACCGCCCGGGGCGCTTTGCACTGCCCGGCCCCTTTAAGAAAGAGAGTAAGAACCCTTCAAGGCAGAGCCTAGGTAGGGAATGAGGCCGTAGGTCTTCTGCGAAGGAGCTCATGTTATCGACCCGTGTTCTTCTGGTCATGTTGTGGTTGTGCGTGTTTTGGGAGGGGTGGAGGCTTATTGCGATAACGACCACTGTACTTTGCAGGGACAGATGTTGCCAGCTCGCTGCGGCCATGTTGGCGCCTTGCTGAGCAGGCCGAGCACGCTAAACACATCGAAACACCTGTGGGAGTCTGCTTCTCTGGCCATCCCCGGCCTCTCTCGCAGCGCCCGCTTGCTTCTCTTGAAGCTTCCTGTGTGCCTTCTGGGGTGTGTGGGCCTGAGGTGCCTTTGGGCCTCCCGCAGCCTGCCTCACCTTACCCCTCCGTGTTTCAGCCACGCGCAGAGGGGGGGAGGGGGTGGCTGGGCTTCTTAATTACAAGCACCCTTCTTCTTAGAAGGCGCGGGCCTTATCTATAGATGTAGGGCGGCGCATTCTAAGAAGCCTTCTCCCCTCCCCCTACCCCCTTGCGCGCGCCGCCAAGCGTTGTTCCGCGATCTCCACCGCCCGCTTCGCCGTTCCTCTCGAGATGAAGGTCTTCGCGCCAAGCAGCGCGCGAGCATCCGAGGGGCGCTGGCCGACGCCGGTCTCGGAGAGGCCTGATGCTCTCGGCGTGCTACAAGCGGGGGGGGAGTGTTGCTCGTGTGCAGCGCTCATCGCTCTCGACGTTACCAGCGTAGCAGTCGGATCTGTGCACGCGAGTGCTGCATATTGAGAAGGGGATCAAGATGAGATACAACGGGAGGGGACGAATGGGCTTGGATGGGAAGGCGCACTCGGAATGCCAGGGGGAGGAGCACGATGAAGAGGGCGAGGAGGAGGAGGACCATCATGATCACAGGAAAGAGACATTAGGCGCCTGGACCTAGGAAAGCACGCGGTACTAACACCAGGCATGGGCAGTGAGTGGGGTAGGTGCAAGTGCAGACCATAATGACAGTCGACTGATGCTGTGCTTGCTGGAAGTCGCCCAGCCGCGTCTCCCAGAACGGGCCCTTGACATAATGGCTGGGGCGCCCCGCGTATTGCACTCTCTCGATCCCAGCCGCCGTTTGTCTCTGTATCTCTGTCAAGGCAGGCATCCCCAGCAGACCAAGAGGGAGAGGCCTGTTAGGTTCCTTCCCTCACCCTGGTCCTCTTGATTGAGGGCATGTAGCCGTGGAGGTTAAGCAGACACCCCAGCTGCCGTCTCAGACTGAGCGTCGATACGCCAGGGAATGCGGGCGACGCGCGATGAGCTGCCGTTGCCTCAACTCGCCCTGCCTGCTCCGAGAGGTGGAGAACGAGGAGTCTCACGTCGCCCTGCTTCGCCCTGCTCCCCAGGCCGAGTCGCTGGCAGAGCCACGGAGCCCATTTAAGATGTATGTCGCCGCGCCGCTTGTTCCGACGCGTGGCCTCACGTCTTGAGGAGGGCGCCTCGGCCACCAGGCCAAACTCTGCATCGGGCGCGAGGTTTGCCGCGGGTCTGCCGCGGTGCCAGCTTCGTCCACCCGGGGGCGTTCAAATAAAAAGGCGCGGCGACATATGGTGTCTTTGAGCTTTCGCCAGCCTGCCAGCGAACGCCCACAGGCACCAGGCTGCGGCGACGCCGCAAGGCTGCCGCTTCCGAGCCCGGGGCCGGACTTGACCGAGGAGACCGGGCTCATAGATTGGGTATGCGTCTGCTTGCCGAGCTTGTCCCCGCCTGCTGCCAGCCGATGGGGGATGGCCGCCAGCTTCTGGAGACGACTAGATTCAGCCACGCGCAGAGGGGGGGAGGGGGGGAGGGGGGAGGGGGGAGAGCTTCGTAGAAGCACCCTGCTTCTTAGACGGCGCAGGCCTTATCTATAGATGTAGGGCCGGCGCCTTCTAAGAGGCAGCCTCCTTCTGAGAAGCCTTCCCCCTTATCTCCACCCCCTTGTGCTTGCTGCCAATTCTGGAGACGGTAAGATTGATTCGCCTTCACTGGCCGCTCGCTCAAATATGTCTTTCGGTCGTGGACTTTGGCCCCGTGGCCCAGGAGGTGCCCCCCAGCTTTCGCGCTCCATCACGGAGCCCCATGGGGTCCTCTCTGCCTCGTGAGGACTGCTCTGGAGGCCGTGGGGGCCTCGTCGGAAGAGGGGGCACCTCGTGCCAGGGACACCCTTATATGGGGCAACGTTTTGGGGAGAATAGGCCCAGGGCGGAATGCATCCGCTTCGATGTCGATTCTGGCCGGTCCGATCCGATTCGATTTAGATATTCAGACGATCCGATGCGGCCCAATGTTTGCACATTGCACGTAGTTGCTGCGCATCCTGGCGCAGCTGATCCGATGTAGTTTCTATGATGTGCCGATGAAGCCCGATCCGATGCACATTTCGATTCGATCCGATTTACCGATACGATGCTCACTGATCTTGTCGACTTCCAATCGCTTTTTCATCGCTGTCACGGGCCTCATACCCCACCCCGCCCAGGAACGTGGGGCTTCATTATTGAGGGCCTATCGCCGATCTATCCGCGATGCACCACCAATTCCAAGTCAATATTCCCCCCTAGCCAGTCCCCCTTATCGTTCCCCCTCGCCTCTGGCAACACCCGAGCTGGAAGGAATATCTGAGTGCCCCGTGCAGCATGTGTATCGCATCGACGCGCTGTGCCGCTCGCCTGGCTTCATGTCCCCAAGAGTCTGAAGATGTCCAGTGGAGTTCCTGGGGAGCCAGGGGGACTCCCAAAGAACGTCCCTTGAAGACTCTGGGATATCTCAGCAGCTTCTCCGATGGCCCCCCACA